TCCTTCTCCACAGGGCTGCTCTGAATCACTTCTTCTCCCTCACCTGGATTTTCCATGTAAAAAATGCTCAGCACCTCGTAGGATGAAACCCTGTATGCTCAGCAACACTGATGTCAGCTCAGATGTGCAAACCCTGAGGAGCACAAAATAATGGATAAGTCACTGTGGTCTGGGGAGGTCTGGACCTTATGCATGGTGAAATGTCTTAGGAAGATCTCTTCTCTGGTCTTCTGTGGTTGGTCCAGCTCAGCCCCAGTGGTCAATCTGGGACTACCCAGGGACTCTGTGCAAAGGGCAGGCGAGCCCTGCTGATTGCACTGCAGACCTCCCTGGATCTTGCTGCTTTCTGAGCTGGGGCATCTCTCTACCTCCTTTCCATTTTCTGTCTTTATTAATAGCCTCAGCTGGGACATCACTGTATTCTGTGTTGCTTCTAACTCCTCTGTTCAGGCCATTGAATGTCTAAACCCTGCTATGAATATTGACTTAGCAAGTAGTAAACTTTTTCACCAGTCTTGTGGCATTTCTTGATGTTTCTGTAGTGCAGAATAAACCCGTGTTTGTCCTGAAATCCAGAGTTTCGTCTGAGTTAAACTGGTCTTGACTTTCACACTAACTTTGGAAAATAAATCCATTAACACATTTCCTGTGGGTATCCTGTTCATAGTTGGCTGCAGTTTACGGCGAGGATTTCTTTGTTTTGTTTTGGAGGGCTTTTTTTTGTCTTTTCTGTAGCATTTTTTCTTGGTGCACAGCACTGGGATCCTCCCCGTTTCCTGGAGCTCCAGACTGAATGTAAACCACCACCACCGCCAGGCAGTGGTGGATGAGTTAGCCCAGTTACTGTGGTCTTTGTAGGACACAGATATTAGTGGAACCTCTGCATCACTCAGGTGGGAGTTAAGCAAAGCCTAGGGCTTGTATTGTCCTAGAAAGCACTGAAATTCATAGGAGATGCTCCAGTGCACTGCTCTCCATGTCACCTTGTCCCAGTTCAAAGTTTAGGACTGCCTTGTCCCTGCTTTGGGGAGGGGGCAGGTGTTCAGTGAAAGCAATCCTGGCTGACAGGATTGGGTAGAGTTGAAGAAACAGGTTTGGGTAGAGTTGGAGAAACTGTGTGAGTAAACCGACATGAATTCACATGGGTGAAGAGGTCTGTCCGCTTACTGAAGGGAGAAGGTAGTTTCCCTTCTCTGTGCGTGCTGGGAGTTCCCATGGTTCATCAAATGAGATTTTATAAGATTGGCCTGAAACCTGCCTTTCTTCATTAGTCTAAATCCATGTCTCTCAGGAGAATGTTTGAGTACTGTTGGTGGAGGAGAAAATTCCTGACACGGTGAGACTTGTAAATCCTCAGCCTTGTTCCTGCAGTTGTAATTACTTTCTCATAGTAGGGGAGTTAGCATAAGGCCAAGAGAAAGGGACTTAAGTTAGTGCTATGATTGGTGTCTTGGAAAGGTGAAGAGGATTTTTTATTTTGTAGTTAATGCTGTGGTGACATAGTTGAAGCATTGGATTTAAGAGCTTACTCAATTAGGTTTCTTAGCATGTATTTTCCCATCTTTACACTGGGTTTCAGCCAGAGCTGATGAAGTACCAGTCTCACTTGACCATACTATAAATTGCATTTAGTAATATTTTTGCCTAAACATTATTCTCAGCATACTATTGATGTTAGAGTGTGCTGTATACTACTGGCCCATTATTGGTATACAAGGCACTATTCATTGGAGAGTGAAAGCCTTACTCCAGCATTGCATCTAAATAAAAGAACCTTTATCCGTTTCCATAATTAATGAAGAAACGTTTTAAGGCCCTGCTGCCAAAGCTGGGCTAAATGCTGCAGTGTGAATATCAGGCTGGGTCTTCTTGGAGCTACAGGATGCAATCTGAGATGGAAGACGGCATCTAGTCCTACTCAAGTAGTGATTTTGGTGTCTGAAGCCAAATCTGGTTTGTAAAAGTGTGGTAGGCTGCTGTCAGCACCAGCTCTGTTACTCTGGCTTCGGTTGCCTGTCATCTTTGGTTGGAGTATGGCTCTGTAGGGACATTCAAAGCTTCTTGATGCATGTCACAAGTGTTGGGCTAGCTCCACTGGAGGCCCGTTCGAGATGAAGAACATATTCTTCTGTGTATGTGAATTAGGAGTGATCCAGCAGGTCCTATGGAAACATCCTACCTGTGGAGAGCATTGTATTATCCAGTTGCCCAATTCTGAGTGAGTATGATGAAGCTGGGATGTAGGTGGGATGGCAGAGTGTGGGCTGAGGAAAATGGCTGCAGTTAGTGGGAGCAGCACATAGGAGGGTTAGGGACAGGTAATCAGAAAGAACCGGGGCAGGATTTGGTGATCCAGCAAAGTGAAACTCCTGTCATAGGAAGTGGTGCCCATTGACTGGAGAAGAGCCAAGAGATAAGTGAGTTTACTTATGAGAGATGGGCAGATTCACTTGACAGTTTTATTTTATAAGAGGCACAGGGAAGCTGGCAGACTGTTGTGGCTTTTTCTACTTTTAGGGTTAAAAGGAAGAGTGATAGCTCTCCTTTATCTTGAGTAAAACTCTTGATGCAGTGCCACACCCCAGGTTGTTTAAGATAAGGACTGGTAGGTGGTGTGGTTTAAGCCCAGCAGTAAAACAGAGCCATGCAGTCACTCTGTCACTCCCCCTCTTCCCCCTGCCCCCTGCTCCTGGAGGGATGAGGAGGAGAATCGAAAGAATGTAACTTTCATGGGTTGAGTTAAGAACAGTCCAGTAACTAAGGTATAACACAAACCACTACTGCTACCACCAGTAATAATAATAAGGGAAATAAGAAGACAAGAGAATAAAACCGCTCACCGCCTGCTGACTGATACCCAGCCCGACCGAGCAGTGAGCTAGCCCTTCCGGTAACTGTCCCCAGTTTATATACCGGGCATGACGTGCTCTGGTATGGAATACCTCTTGGCTAGTTTGGGTCAGGTGTCCTGTCTCTGCTTCCTTCCGGCTTCCCCTTCTCCCTGGCAGAGCATGAGGATCAGTCCTTGGTCAGAGTAAACATTACTGAGCAACAACTAAAAACATGGTGTTATCAGCACTGTTCCCAGGCTGAAAGTCAAAACCACGGCACTGCACCAGCTACTAAGAAGGAGAAAAATGACTGCTACTGCTGAGCCCAGGACAGCAGGAAATTGCATGGGGCACAAAGGATGGAGAGAGGACTTGGAGAGGAAAACAGACATCAGTAAAGGACTGGGGCCCTTACCAGTTGCTCTTGGGATGCTTTTGTTGCTTCTTCTGATGGTTCCTCTTGATGCAACAAGTACAAGGGTGCTAATGGGATATACTGCTGCTCAGAGGGTGGTTCAGAGAACAGCTGCACACAGGACAAGGGACTGTCCATGTCTTTGGGGCTTAGATCCCTTTCCTTTGTAATACGAAGTCTAATGTTGTGACTCATCTCTAAAGATACATTGGTGTAATGACCCAAGTGGGGAAAGGCCATTCTTGGCACAGGATCATGTGTGTAAACACTGCCTAACAAAGCATTTGGCTGGAGAGTAGCAGAGTGTTGGTGGAGCTTTCCAACAGTGGAGTTAAGGCACCTGGAAATCTTGAAGGGAAGGTGTTATGTTACGCCATAGCTGCCTGTGACAACTGGGGCTAGACTCGGCAGTGTAAAAGGAAAGAACTCCTGCTGTGCTCATGGATTCAGGTGAGGAGGAGCCCTCTAGACGCTCTCTAAAGGCAAGGACAGTTCTGAAGCACCAAACTTAATTGTTTTCAGAAAGAGTAAGACAAAGCTTCTATACCTGTGCTGTGTGCAAGGACATAAATCCTAAAGGGGCAGACTCCCTAACAGCACTGATTCCACAGATGTCCTGGAGGAGATGACCCCCCTGCTGGCTGTCCTGGTTTGACTGACTGTAGCTTTTAACAGGTGCTGTTACTGTCTGCATCTACCTGTGCAGATGGTCCAGTTTGTAGGCTTGATGAGTTACCTAACAAAACCTTCCCTCGGTGTAGCACTGCAAGATATGTGTCTCATGGGAAGAGGGGCTCCAGAAGGATTTCTTAAGGGATCCCTCCACACAGAGGGATTTGCTTTTCCTGCTGCTAATCGCATCATAAAGTCCCAAGCAGGTGAGCTGCATATGAACTGCACGTGTGCTGATGCCGGCGCACATTGTTGCTTGGCTATGCCAGCGGGTCAATGCACAGGAATAGTGCAGTTCCTGAAGTGGGACCCTGCAGCGGTGCTGTTCTGGGTGGGACAGGGTTGTTCAGGGAGCCCTGCTGTGTTCTCCCTTCAGTTGTTGCTTGAGCCTTTGCTTGGTGTAACAGAGTTAAAACTCGATTCTGTGTGTCTGTTTTCCTGAATGATACCTGTTTCAGCCTGCACAGTTGGAGGCCACAGCAGCCTGTGCTACTGCCTGTGGCTACAGCTTGAGGAGGGGAAATGTCCTAGCAGGTCTGTTTGACTGCAGCTGGTGTCACTGACTGCAGTATGTGGTTGTGTTGTGTTCCAGGGACAGTAGTAGCACATGTGATGCCTTATTCTGGGATGTAATACTCCGTTCACCCTGAGACTTAAAAAATGTATGTCTCTTTTTAAAAGTACATCTCTCTCTTTCTACTTCTTTATACATTCCAGTCCAAGAGAGCTGCTCTGAAATCCAGAAGATGGGATTTGTGTTCTTGGCTTGCCCACTTGTCTGTGGACTGGGTGGTAGTGGAGCAGGGTAGGAGCTGGGGTGGAGTGCTGCGTCTTTCCTGGGATCGCACAGGCTTTGCAGTGTGACAGGGAGCAGGAAGCAGAAAACACTTTGGTTTTGTCTGTTTTAATTCTCTGTGCTAAGCCTAGGTGAAAAACCAAAGAAAACATTTTGCCATGTAAAAATGTGGAACTTGGGAAGCTTCATTTGTTGAAATGGAGCAGGGCTGTAGCAGTGTACCTGTGCAGTGATGCTGTTTTGTGGTATTCTGGTCCAGGTAATGATGGCAGCATCTTTCTTGCAGGCCCAGACACAAAGATGGAGTGCCAGAAAATCATCAATTTTGGAAACCAGCTTCTTCGCCGGAAAAACGTGGACTGCACTCGAGAAGACAGTCGGCTCTCGCGATGCCTCAACACGTTTGACTTAGTGGCTCTGGGTGTAGGCAGCACTTTGGGTGCAGGTGTCTATGTACTGGCTGGAGCCGTGGCACGGGAGAATGCGGGACCTGCCATCGTTATCTCCTTCTTGATTGCTGCCTTGGCTTCAGTGCTGGCTGGACTCTGCTATGGAGAATTTGGTGCTCGGGTTCCTAAGACGGGATCAGCTTATCTGTACAGCTACGTGACCGTGGGCGAGCTGTGGGCCTTCGTCACAGGGTGGAATTTAATCCTCTCCTATGTTATTGGTAAGTATAATGGGTGTGCTGTGAGGCCTTAGCTTTTGTCCAGGATGGCAGCATAGTTTGTAAGATCAGCCTTCTTTGGGTGCCCGTGTTACTCTTATCCTGGTGTCTGCTATGTTGGAAAAATGTCAGATTCCCTTCACTCCCTCAAGGCTGTTGGTTACAGAGTGTTCGGGATAAAGAGCTTACAGTTACATGGAACTGGCATCCAAGGAACTGGCATCTGATGTAATATGTGCAGGAGCTCATTGTTCCTGTCCTAGGACATGAAATATTAGAGCCAGGACAAAAGAAAAAAAAACAAAACCCAAACCCAAACAGCACTAAAGAAATAGTCTGTCTACCATAACTTGTGGAGTTTTTCAAGATAAAATTGATGGCTCTGATGTCCCGCCTCTTTAAAAGAATTCACACTGTGCACTTTGTATGAACAGAAGAGTCTGTTCTGCAGCTTGTTTTCCCACTGTTGCAAAGCTGGATTAGGGTGGAGAGTGTTCCCAGCTTTGCTGCAGGCATTGCCTACCACTGCTGTAGAGGCTGTAGCTGTAGCTGAGCACAGAGACTGACGTGATTGCCTGTGCTGGAGTTGAGACCTGAGCACCTGCCTGCAGGTGAGTGTGTCAGGACAAACTGTTCTAGATATAAGGTGGCCCCTGACTGCGTCCTCTGAGGAATTGCTCTGCAAACAAAACCAAACCAACCTCTTTTTTTAACTAGGTAATTACATACAGTAGTAATTATATCCTGCAATTAGATGCTGTTATATATAGTGTAATGTATTAGACTTCGGGAGTAACCATAGCTACTTTCACGCAGAAGAGGGAGAAGTTGGCTATTACCCAAACCTACTTATTTTACACAGTGCTGTCACTGTCTGGTGGTAGCTCTTCGTTGTTACTATTTCAGTTCTCTGAAATGACTCTTCTGGCCCAGACAATGTCCCGGTCTTGGTCATCCTGAGACCCCAGGTTCAGTCCTCACCCTTGCAAGCTGTGCGTGGTTTGGTGCTCTCAGGAGCCACAGCAAACAGCAGCCCCGGAGGGGTAAGTCTAAGCAGTTGCTGCAGGCAGTTGTACCGCTTGCTGGGATCATCACCACTGTCCTGCAGTGGGCTGACTTACACTCAGCTAACCTGTAAATTACATCTTTATCCCGCTTGGATGCTCTAGCTCTGGAGGCTGGAGCAGACCTGCTGGAGTGCAGAGCTTGTAGAGCTTGAGTGTTGTGATCCACACTCTGGTGCTCCAGTGTCGTGCTTCTGGAGGCCAGCTGGCTTCTGCAAGGTCCCTCTGCCTGAGCTGCAAGGACAGGCATCTGGGGTCCTGATCCAGAGTGCCCAGGGCTGCCAGGGCCTTTTGCCAGTGTGACAGTTGAACCTCTCTAGTGACAGAAATTACCAGGCCCGGGGGAAGTTCAGGGTGCTGGGGGTGTAAGGAAAAGGTCAGTCTAGGCAGTAGCAAAGGCAAAATTGGGGTTTACTAAGAAGCCAAACTGTAAGGATTCTTTTTATCTTGTCAGCTGAGCATGAGACCCATCACCTGTGTGTTTTACCACCAAGGCAGATGCCAGGCCTGAATACAGGCTGTGGGCTGGATCTGCAGAGGAAAGTTTGCTCCCAGCAGCTAGGAAGCACATGCAAGGTTGCTTTGGGGCCCCCATGGCAAAAAGCCTTGCGAGGTGACCCCAGTTTGGAACGTGTGCCAACCACAAAGGGTGATCTGCATCCTTTCTGTCCTCTGGCAGGAACCTCGAGTGTGGCCAGAGCCTGGAGTGCGACGTTTGATGAGATCATAGGCCGGCACCTTGAAGAGTTTTGCAAAAGATACATGAAGATGGATGCTCCTGGAGTGCTGGCAGAATACCCAGACATCTTTGCCGTGGTGATAATCACCATCCTAACAGGTAAAACCTCACAGGGGTCTGTGAGTCTTTGACTCCTTCCTCTGTCATTTCGTTGTTTGCTTTTGGACTTCGCATAGAGTCCTCATTTATTTTGGACAACATATTGAAGACTTTTTCTTTGGTACGTGTTTTGGATTGACCTATATAGTTGCTGTGGAGTTAACACAAGGCATAGCCTGTTTACAAGGTTTTTAATTAGAAGGGAGCATTCTCAATATTTTTTGAGCCACTTTTAAAACCTTCAATCAAATTTTATATAAGGAAGAAAAGAAAAGATGACTTGTTATCCTCAGTCAGGTATGGAAGTTTAATCCTTCCCTCCACAAATCCTATTACACAAGAATTCATTTAAGGAACCTTATTCCCCATTTGATAATCTGCCAATTTGCAGAGCATTGAGCCAGGAAAGTGGTGGTGGGGGGGGGGATGGGACTCAGTAACCATCTCATACTACTCTTTTGGTTTGGGTTCTTTTTGAAATATGTATAGGCTTCAGTTTGCAGCATTGGATGCAAGATTCTAGAGAAATAAATGTGTGACAAACACACAGGTCCCCTTTTTTCCTCTAAAAATGTGCCAAGGCTTTGGTCAGAATTTGAAAGTTTTGGAAAATTTTAAAATGAAAATCCTTCTGAACTAGTACCTCTGTTCCAACTGGATCTTGCAAAGCCGAATTTAGGCAAAGTTAAGAAATTATGCTTCTCATGTACCCCCTGTGGTTTCCAGAGCACAAAAGCTGCGGTGTCACCCCCACAAGGTTATCCCAGTATTTCCCACCCTGATCAAGATGAGCATCTCACATGTGGGCTCACAGGAACAGGCTTCATAAGCATGGGACGCTTTGACATCTGGGTTTGCATTTGGATCTAGGACTATATCAAGGACTACTGAAGTCAATAGCAGCCCTCTGTTTTCAGGGCTACATCTGAATTGGAGAGATTTTCCTCTTTGTTCATTTGTATATAATAGGAATTGCTTTGGTCTCAAGTTAGAATCTGGTCTTTCACCTCAGGTACTATTTACAAAATTTAGGACTCCTCACTTTAGCACTACCTAGGCATAAAATTATACAGATTGACAGTGGCTTTATTCCTCTGCATTGTGGAAATTCCCTGGATTTTAATAAATGCAAACCGTTCTTTTCTACAAAAGCTGCTGAATAAGCTTTAGTCCCAGTAATAAGCACTACAAGTTTATTTCTGTTTGCACTGTCCTGAACTTCAGATTTGTACAAGGTACTTTAAAAGTTTTCCTGGGCCAGGTACACAGTTCAGTCAAACTCTTCTCTGATGTGCCTGTCTCAGCTTATTTCCTATTTGAAAAGAAGGAAAGGTGAGTGCACAGGATGCTTCCCCTTGAAGTGCCTGCTGGAGTAGCAGTAAGGACACCCTATTGTGCTTCTCTTCTCCCTCAGGCCAGTGTGATTTTTTTTTTTTTTTTTTTTACCTTCTTCCTCAGCCACCTTCTTAGATTTGGCTTAAAAGCTTGGGTTCTCAAAAATCAAGACACCTGAAGAGCAAACACAAGTTACCAGAGCTGCTTGTTGTGAGAAGCCAACCTGTGCATCAGTGAGTTGCTGGTTATCAAAGCCTGTAAACGTGCTTTTCTTCGCATGGATGCTCTTAAGATCACAAGCTGAAATCCTGCTCTTGCTGAACTCACTGACAAAGCTCCTGCTGATTGATTGGAGTGGGAGCAAGATTCCCAAGATGCCACCTTCTGCTGTATCTTCAGCACTAGTAGTAGCTGTCCTCATGGATTCAGTCCCTGCCCATAGTTTCCCCTGCTTCTAGGGAAAGTGAACATTGTTCATAACTTGTGCATTTGGCCAAGACCTTAACTATAATGTTCTTTCACGAAAAACCATCTGGGTTGCTTCCACCAGGTCTCTGGGTGGAGCTGAGGCTGTGGCTAGCTGGCACAGCATGGTGCCATGAGGTGACTAGCACTGGCACTGAAAGCACTGGAAACAGCTTAGCTGTGTTTGCAAAGCACTTTACCAGGGGGATGTGCTACATAGGCATGGTGGGTGGGAAGATGTGTTAATCCCACAGTAGTAATGTCAGGGCTGAAGGCCTTGTCCTGCTTCTGAGTGAGTTAATCCTGACATACCTGAACTAATTGGCTTTGTGGAGAAATGAGGTGTGGTAAGTTGGGCAGAGCACAGCAGGAACAGCTCTGAGCTATCTCTTCAAGTCCCCAGTGCCTGCTGGTAGTGAAATACCTGACTGCTTATGCCATTTTTTCCCCAGGGCTTTTAATTTTTGGCGTGAAGGAATCTGCCCTGGTGAACAAAGTGTTCACCTGCATCAACATCCTTGTTCTTGGCTTCGTCATGGTCTCAGGCTTCGTGAAAGGGTCTATTAAAAACTGGCAGCTGACTGAACAGGACATTTACAACACCAGCCATGGCACTTATGGAGACAAGTAGGTTGGATCTTTTGTTCTCAGCTCTGAAATTGATAGGTTTACAAATGCAACTTTATAGGGGAGTTTGTGGAGTGATTTAGAAAACTGGTGAATGGGATGCTCCCTCCTTTGCCAAATGCCTTGGAAGCAAAGCTGGCTTCAGTGGGTGTGTTTGCTGAAAGCAATCTGTGCTGATGGGCTGAAATTGGGAGATAGGCTGAGTCAATGTGGGCCCTGCTGCAGGACTGACATTTCCAGCCTCATGACAAATACAGCATCCAAATTTGAGAGAAAAAGGTTTTTAGACAGCTTCTTACCCAAGGCTACACCAGGCTTTCCTGGTGCCTCAGTGAAGCCATGACTGGGTGTAGCTCTGTAGTTTCTTTGGACACTGGGGGAGTATCCTTGAGGCATTGTTAGACCTTTTGGAGACCTTGTTCCAGATGCTCCAGTAAAATCATAATATCACAGAATCAAAGAATAGTTTGTGTTGGAAGAGACCTTCAAAGATCATCTAGGCCAACTGCCCTGCAGTGAGCAGGGACATCTTCAACTAGATCAGGTTGCCCAGAACCACATCCAGTCTGGCCTTAAATGTCTCCAGGGTTGGCACATCCACCACCTCCCTATGCAATCTGTGCCAGTGTTTCATCATCCTCCTTGTAAGGAATTTCTTCCTCATGTACAGCCTGAAGGACAAGTTGCAGATTATTTTAATGAGTTACAGAAATCATATCACAAATCCAATTTAATGGTATTTTGCTACTTGGCCAAAATCCTGTCTTCTTATAAGGATCCTTCAAGGGTTGCCAGAGATACAAGGCTGTTCATTTTTTTCTTGAGACTGTACAACACAGAATGAGGGCTTTTAAATATCTCCACATACATCAACTCAGTCCTGGCTCAGTATCTAAACTCTTTATCTTGGCCTTCAAGGAAGCACAGCTTAGCAAAAACTGAAGACATTTATAAATGTTGCATTGGTCAAATTTAGCTTGTGTGAAGGCTGCTTATTGAACCTCTCTGCAAAATTCAACCTGCTGAACAGGCTTCTATAGGACAGGTCTCTCTTTCTTCTCTGCTATTCCCATGCAAGGAGCAATTAGTGCAGTAGCTTCAAAGTGTAACAGTAGCTCTTTGACCTGCAGCACTTACTATTTTTGTGAAACCTGTCTGGGGCTTACTTTACTTTATCATTATTTCTGGAGTAATCCACATTTGGGTTGTGCTGCTTCTGCAAGTAACAGGTCAGTTTACATCTAAGTCTCAGTGGAGCTTCTATGGGAGAGTTCAGATGCTTACACCTGATAAGACTTGCAGATTTGGGATTTACGTTAGTTGCCTTAATTCATCTTTATGAGGGCTTTTCCCTGAAAAAGTGACCTAAGTACTTGAACTGAAGGGTACGTTATACATGACTCAGCACAGGCACATGGATCTGGGGTCCTGATCCAGAGTGCGCTGGGACCAATATGTGTTTGCCTGTTGACTTTATTGAACTTTGAGGCTCAGCAAAGCATCAGGGATGTAGGCTTCCCTCTTCCCTCAGTGTCACCAGCATGTGGTACAAACTTGGCACAGGGAATTCTGAGGTTAAGAGTGGAGAATTGTGCACATTCTAGACAGTCACAATACCCTGTGTTGATCTCTGATATTTACTTACCTACACATTGTCTGGGTCCATCCTAGGTGAAAAGGGCATGGTTTACATGTTTCTCAGTCTTTAGCTTTCAGAATTGCATGTTGTGCTTTGTCAAAAGCTTATGTTTAAATGAGTGTATTACACACATGCAATGATATTAGGAGAGGAATTTTAATATGCATGCTGTTTTCTCCTTGTCTTAGCTATTTTTACCCAGCCCCCAAAACAGGTGGTGGGAACAAATCATGAAGCATTTTTATTCCATGCATCCTCCAGGCTGTTGCAGGCCAGTCCCAAGCTCAGCGCTGTGTAGGGCTGTAGTATTTTGCATGGTATTTGTATGCAAGCATATGAAAGGGAGAGTGTGTTCTTCTTAAGCCCAGCTTTACATTTTGTTATGAGATATATGAGTAGTTTTGTTACTCCCACCTAGACAGGATGACTTCTAACTCAGTGCCATGCCTTTTAGTCAAACACAGGAGGAAAAGCTCTACGGTGTTGGAGGGTTTATGCCCTATGGATTGAAAGGAGTCCTCTCAGGGGCAGCCACGTGTTTTTATGCTTTCGTGGGATTTGACTGTATTGCCACTACAGGTAAGAGGGAAGGTGTCTTCATTCCAGTTTTGAACCTGGTTGGTGGTAGGTTGGCTTTCAGTAAAGTTGCACAGCACAGGTAATGAGTAATTCAGGGTATTGCTTTCATCATCCCTCTGAACCTCAGCCCAAAATAGACTTTTGGCTCAGCTGTTCCTAATAGTCAAAGAGCTGAGTGTGTCCAAGTCCCTGGGTGCCTGAGTGTTGATTTTCAGCTGCTCTGGCAGGCAGCTAGACCATGTAATACACAAAATGAGCTTTCTCCCTCCTATGCCTGCAGGCTCCAATCTCATGGGTGGTCACTGGTGACACTGACCAGAAACAGAAAACATTACCAGTTAGGAAAACAGGGAAGGCTCAGGTTCACATGCCTTCTGTAACTGGTGAAGTTTGAATCTCTAACTCCAAGTGGTGCTTTAAACGACAGGTTATTCTTGAGTAGGGTTTTTCAGTGTGTTCAGGTGGAGAAGCTCTGCTGGCTTGGAGTATTTAAAGAGCCAAAGAAAGAGGGAGCCTCTGCAGAGTCATCTGCAGCCTAAAGCTGTGCCTCAAAGTTAGGAGTTTTTATGTCCAAAGGCTCTCTTTCTGAGAGAGAAGTCATCAGCATTGTCTTATTTTTCCTGGCTAAGAAGAATCTGAGTTCCCTGCAGAAAGGAAGGATTATCCTTAATTTCCCATTTGGCATGAACTGACTTACTTCGAAGCTGGAGCAGAGAGAGGAAGAGATTATCACAAAGACAGATAAAGCGGTGCTGCCTCTTACTCCAAGGAGCTTGAGAAGTGCTGACTCCATTACTCCAGCCAGCCCTAGAGCCTCTCCTTGTAGAAGAAACACATTCATTTGCCTTTGACTTCTAGGTGTATGGGTCTCTGCTTAGTGGTTTTTCATCCCGAAAAGCCAAACCTGAGGAGTTCTTGCTTTCAGAGAAGGGCAGCTCTGTTGAACAGGGAAGACTCAATTAACCAGTGCCTGAATTTTGATATTTTTTAAAAAACATTCATCCCAGCCTAGTTGGCAAAAAATCTTCCTTAAAAAAGTAAAGGAAGTCCTTTTTTAAGAGGTTTTTTCAAGGATCTGTGTGATTTCCAGGTGCTGTGCAAAGTCTGCCTCTCTCTTGAACTGGACACCTATAGTGTTGTGTTCCCTGTTTAGCAGTTCTGGTGGAGATGCTGACTGAAATGGTCACCCATAGATTTGCCCTACAGTAATTTCCTGTCCCATCATTTGTGATCCTTGAATACTTGGGACTGCACTATCAGTGGAATAGCAGGATTAATTGGAGGTAAAAATAATCCTTTTTGGGGAAAGGACTGTTTTTAATCCAGATTGTTTCTGGGCCTGAGTTTACAAGGTCTCCACAAATACTTGTCAGAAGGAGTGACAGGAGCAGCAGAAGTAGGAGCAAACAGGCTGGTTTGCCTAGTGGTTGGGGCAGGCCATCAGCAGTGGCACAGTCAAAACAACACCTTGTTGCCTGTGAAGCCTTGAAAGCCCTGGTCAGCATGCCTTAGGCTGGGAAAAAGTTCTTGCTCATTGTTTAGTTGATGTTTATATTTCTTTCTTCTAGGTGAGGAGGTAAAAAACCCTCAGAAGGCCATTCCTATTGGCATTGTGGCATCTCTGCTCATCTGCTTTGTGGCTTATTTTGGCGTGTCAGCTGCCCTGACGCTCATGATGCCTTACTACCAGCTGGATACCAATAGCCCTTTACCCAATGCCTTTAAATATGTGGGTTGGGATGGAGCCAATTATGCTGTGGCTGTTGGTTCTTTGTGTGCGCTATCTACGAGGTGAGACTGCTGTTTCTTTGTGCATCTGTCAAGGCAAACATGTATCTCCAGCTCCTTTAAAAAATGGGGCATGTCAGGGTTTTGCCTTCACTGTGTTCCGCTGCATCAAGAGAGCCAAAACCAGGGATGAAATTCGGACCTATTGACTTCAAAAGGACCAGGATTTCACCCTGTGATTTCAGAGTTGCACATGACCAGTATCACTTCAGAAACTCCCACCTGAGAAGCAGACCCAGCAGGTGCATCTCTGGAATATAAATATGGATAGAGTGACTAAGTCATGGAGGCAACTCCACAGTGCAATCACGGTTTGCCTGCAAGACATCCTGGCCTGCTGAGTAGAGAGCAGGCTTGTGTCAGGTAGTGAAAGGTGCATCTTCTGGAGTGTATGGAGCTCACCACATCCAGTTTGTCTGCGGGACAGCTATCTGGATGGGTGGCAGGGCAGGCTGTAGGCAGATATGTCATGTTCTGTGCTCTGGAAGCTATTGTTTCAGATAAATTTAGACATATTCAGTTAGGTAAGCAACTCACAGAGGCTCACAGAAGTTACAGCTTTTTTGCTACCTGAAAGCCAGGCTGTTTTCATGCCCCACTGCTTGTTTAAGTATCCAGATTCTTAGAGCTGCACCTCAGTTGCCAGCTATCAGTAACAGTGCAGGGGGAGCCCTTGAAGAAGAAGCTTAAGTGAAGGAAAGCCACCTGTTCTATATTTGTACTGCCATAAACTTGCTTTCATTTGTGTGCCTGTGCTCCCCAGGAGGTGATGATATAAGTAGATCATTTCCCCTTTCTTTGTCCTTAGTCTCCTTGGCTCCATGTTTCCAATGCCTCGAATAATTTATGCTATGGCAGAAGATGGACTTCTTTTTAAATTTTTGGCTAAAGTCAATGAGAAAAGAAAAACTCCAATAATTGCAACAGTGACTTCAGGAATCATTGCAGGTAATGTCCAAAGACTTGTGCAAATGTGTGGAAAGGGCACATAAGCTCTTCACAGGAGCAGTTTAGGTCCGCCTGACTCTAGCCCACTTACTAGTTGGATATATTGCACAGCATGACATCCCAGAGAGTGTCCTGGGTTTCCAGGGCATGCACTGGAGGGGCTGGGTGAGCATGAATAGCTGTCCCTCTTTCTCAGAGCTTATTGTTGCCATCCCATCTCATGCCAAGAATTGCTGTTATCTGCTCCCTGGGTGCTCTGCTGGCCTTAAAAATAATTAACCCCCTGCAACATGGCAGTCAGGGTGCCCAGCATCCTTGTGGCTGCTGGCCTGGCATGGTTGAAGACACTGCACTGCCTGTGGGTAGCAGCTCGGCAGAAGATGCCAGAGCAGCCGGAGACAGGCAGATGGTCCCAGTGGCACTGGTATTTGTTAATCAGTTAGTCTCAGCTGGCAGCCGTTCTGTTCTTCCCTCTCACAGCCCTCAGGAATATGGGAATTAAACCTCCCAGATGGCAAGGATGAGCAGCTTACCCTCTTCTTGCAGCTTCCTTACGATGCCTGCAAATGCAGGATTAGACATTGATACAAGAACTTGCCACCTTTGGAGGGGAGTGCTGCTAGACTGCCATCGTGAGCTCTGAGCTCGTATGACTGGTGGTGTCACCTCTATGTCTGACTGTGCCGTCTGTCCTCCGCTCACTTGTTTCTCCTTCTGAAGGCCTTTATACAAAGTTCTGTACAACCAGGGGTTGCCTGCTAAAGGTGTGTAAGCGCCATAAGGTAATCCTTGAGGGATGGTAGTCTATGCCTTTGTCTGGAAATTCCATAATAGTCATGGTACCTCAAGATTCCCTCCTTGATGCTTGTTCCCATTGCATGTACAAACCTAGTTTTGCCCCAGCTGAGCTGAGACACTGGAGCAAGGTGCTGCCTGTCCTCTAGCTACTTCCAGGAGATAACTGTTGCATTAGGGGTGCTGCGGCTGTGCCAGGGGACTCCAGCAACGAGTCTGTGGCTTAAACACCTGCTTATTGTTGGTAGTTGGGCAATCATACATACACATATGAGACAAACAGGCTGGCATTTATTGTAGCAAATGGTTCCTCTGGTTCCAGCTAGCGAGGCTGTGCTGCATCCCTGCAAGGCTCAGTGTGTTCGTGTGCGAAGTTGTGCCTCTCCTCAGCTAAAGCTAAGTGCGGAGCAGGAGTCACATGTGTGCTGTGTTGTCATTAATGCTCCTGTGGTGCACATATTCTGCTGTGTTAACTGATTTTTCTTCCCTCTCTCACCTTCCTCTCCTCTTACAGCTGTAATGGCCTTTCTCTTTGACTTGAAAGATCTTGTGGATCTCATGTCCATTGGGACCCTCCTGGCTTACTCCTTGGTGGCAGCCTGCGTGTTGGTACTAAGGTATGGATGTAGAAATCACCTCTCTTGTACCACACATACAGAAATCCTCACAGCGATCAGATGCCCTTGTGGTTTCCATAGGCCCAGTAAAACCAAGAACATTTATAGCTTCAAGCATGTGAAGAATTTGTTTCTTTAAGCTTATGAGAGATTGTGCTATTTGGATCTGCAAGGGGGTCATCTGAATTTGCTTAATGCTCGGTCCATGCTGCTCCTGCTGTGGTCAACCCTGAATGCCCGGAGAGATATGCCAGTGGGTGGGTGTGAGATAAGGGTGGTCCTGGATGCCTTCGTTGTCACCACTCCTTCCCAGTGGTGATACAGCTTTAGGTTGTCTTACTTTTGGAAGAGGATTCAAGATAAAGTCTAACAGCAGCAAAAAAGATGAGTATGTGTTTGCAGGATTATTACCCTAGTGAATGGCTTTTAGAAGTGCTGAGCTCCCACAGCTTCCCTAGCCTAAGCTGAAAATTGAGTATCTTCATTGCTTGGCACCTCACAGACGACTACTCTATGTAGTACTCTACCCATGATGACTGTACTTGAAGATCACGTTACTGAAAATGCCTTTATGTGTTCCATGACTCATTCAGAGTCAGGTGGAGGCTTTTTACAAGCTCACAGCAAATGCATTGAACTAAGAACTATCTTGCAGCAGGTGAAGGGCCAACACTGTACTGTAATACTGTTGCTGTGTGCTTGTGCTGTCCTCTCTGCCCCTTGAAAATCCTTGCTGAAAATTCCTTGTCCATCTTACTTTTCCTCTGACTTCCCAGCTCCCTCTTCTCCCTAGAGCTGGAAATGGCTTCTTAATTTGCTTTTGCAAGCTGCTGTGTAGTGTAGCATTTTCCCCAATGCAGATTAGCAGAGCTAACAGCCTGTCCTGTAGTGGCCTGGGCAGCTGATTTGGCTGCCCCATTGGCTGCCTAATGAAGTAGCAGCTGAGTTGTTTCCAACTTTTTTTACCCTGCTGTGGCTGGACCCAAGGATTTCACTGCATTTCCCAATTTACTGTGTTTCACAAATGCCCTCGTTGCAAACACATTCCCACAGAAGTGATTTTAAGGTGTCTTTCAAAATGGCCCTTTCCTTTAGTCATGCTTATGCAGGAGATTCATGGAGAAAACCTTCTATAAAAGAGAGCTGAGGCTGGAAGAGTGGGTTTTTTCTTTATGGTTCCACGTGTTTTTTTGTCAGGGCCCTGTTGAATGAGGTGCTGTCTATTCTTTGTTCACCTCTTCCTTCCCTACGTGGCAGCAGATAAGCTAGCAGAAGACACTGGGATGGAGAAGGACGGACACAAGGAATGTCACCACGATCAGCTGGGTGTGATCATCTGCTGAGCTGTTAGTTTAGCCACCTCCATGCCAAAACACAAGAGCTGAACTGCCACAGATAACACAACAGCCTGGTTACAACTGTCTGCCAGTCCCTCTGCTGCTTCCTTCTCTAGTCCTCACTATTACTTGATCGTGTTTTGGCCACACAGTCAATAGGGTTTGTGGAAGAGAACACTGTCCAGTTTAAAACACTGACTACAACCAAGCTATAGGTGATAATAGCAGACCATATTTGCTTACATCATGACCACGTTATTCTGAGAATTTCCCCCCTGAAACAGAAGGGTGTAGACCTTCTGTGGGCCTATTCTGGTGTTAGAGTGATTTGGGGCATAGCCATGACTATCTGTAGTACCCTGTGCCAAACCAATATGCTCTTTGTTTCATTTCCCTTTTCCTAGGTATCAGCCAGAGCAGCCTAATTTGGCATACCAGATGGCTAGGACAACAGAGGAGACAGATAACAATGAGTCTGTGAGCACCACTGAGTCTCAGGCTGGATTTCTGCCAGAGGAAGAGGAGAAGTGTTCCCTCAAAGCCATATTGTGTCCCCCAAATTCGGACCCTTCCAAATTCTCTGGCTCGGTGGTGAACATCTCAACCTTCATCATTGGTAAGCACTGGGCAGTGCAGCTTGGGGGCAGTGAGCCAGCTGATAGATCCTTGTACTCACTGTGGCAGGAAAGCTCACTTCCTTGCCCTGGTTTTGATAAGCTCTTGTAACGGCCAAAATAACTGAATATCTACAGATTAAATTTATGACTTGAAAAGAAATCCAGAGATGAGGGGGGTGGGTATATAGGGAGAAGGGCATATCTCTTACAGTTAGTCTTTTCATATGTTGCTGTTTTGTTTGCTGAGCTTTCAGACTCTGCTTTCCTCACTTGTGGTTTTGGTTTTCTTGGTTTTGGGATTGGTTGTTGTTGTTTTTCTGTTTCTAAAAAAAAGAATCTGTATGCTTTGATGTCCATTTACAGGTTTCCTTATTGTGGGTAGCTGTATCTTGACTGCTCTTGAGCCAAGTGTTCTGATAAAGGCTATATGGATTATTGCTGCCATCCTTGTTCTTTTTGTCAGCTTTGTTATATGGAAACAGCCTGAAAGCAAAACCAAGCTCTCCTTTAAGGTGAGTGTCCTGGGAGGTGTAGCTAGAGGTGGGAGGTGATTGGAGGAGGAAGTACATGTTGACCTGTGTCACAAGAGAGGTCCTGGCCAAGTGGACATGCAGAGAATATAGGCATGATGTGCAGTGCTGTCCATAGAGCTGATGGTTTGAGCTCTCCAGCTATTTTGTCTGTAATTTTTTGTAGTCTGTGCTCCTTGCAAAAAAGGATGTCTTACCAGAGCCAAGCTAAGCCTCTGAGTGTGGTTTCCTCTTGGAGTCTAACCTCAAGAGGTTAGCATAGATGCTTTGCTGCAACATGCAAGTGTAGCAGAAGTAGCATTGTGGCAAGCCTAGTACCCAGCAGTGCCCTGTGGGCAGAAGCAGATTTGGCACAGAAAGATGGACTGAAGGGGTTAGCTGGGAGGTTGGAGGAGGCAGTCAGGAGGGGAAGCCTTGGGTCAGATCAGAGGTGACAATAGAGGACTTGAAAAGAAACGTAAAATGGTGCTGAAGTCCAGAACAAGCTGGGAGGGTAGAATTTGGTGCAGAGATGTGTCCAGAAGGGAAGGGCAGGACAGTGCCTTTGAAAGCAGATGGTTATAGAATATGGAAGAGACAGAGATCAGAAGAAAAAGGGATGATTTGAAGGGCCATGTCAGATCATGGATACAGAGGGAAAGAGAAACCAAGAAGAAAGTTTTGTGTGAGTATCAAAGGGGTACTTGCTAAAAGGCTGTGAGAAAGTGCACTTTTCATATCCTGTGTAGTCCCCAGGGAGATTAAGGGGTGTCCATTCTTTGTTGAACACTCTTAAGTATGAGGAACTCTGTCATTTTCCTGCCTTTCCAAGCACACCATCCTTTCTATATTAAACACTGGGAAGTCTGGGGGCTTTTTTACTATTATAATACTGCAAGTCGTATTTTGTCATTGATTTCAGGTTATTTCCCTAATTTATTTAGTTAGTTTTGTATTCTAATGCCATCCTCCAAACTGCTCTCATTTCGACTGCTCTTCAGTTACAGTTTTTCAATTAATTCTCTGATTTTAATCATTTAATCCAGCCAGCATTGCCCAGGGTAGTGTTTGCAGCTCATTTTGTGATTATGGTCCCAGAAGTAGAAACAGAAATGTCCAGGAGCAGAAAATTTAGGAACTGTCATCTAGATTATTTTCTGAACTCACTTCTAAGGAGATCTCTTTGCCTTACGCTCCAGGTATTTTACTTCCTTCTCTTCCCCTCAGCCACTACCCTCTCGGGGTGGTGGTGGGGGGGGGGGTGGGAGGGAATGAGATCTGTCACTTCTAAATCTGTAGTAACTGTTTCATATCTCCTTGTGGTGCTTTAGACATTTACAACCTGACTGTCAAGGGACTTTTCTCTAAAGTCTCTCTGGGAATCCAAGGCTGCCTGGTTTATTTCCCAGTTGTTTTTGTGTATTTCTTTTTAATAGGTAATTTGTCTCCCTTCTCCACTCTTTAGAGACATTACAGGTCTACCAGGAGCTCTGAGATGCCTATTAATGGTTCAGAGATCACTTCAGCAGTCTCTGGATATATAACTCACCCACTGAGGGAAATCTCACTTGTCCCTCCTGACGTGACAAAGCCTGGTTTAGAAAAATACTCTCCTCTGCTTTCTAATTTGTGTGCCCATCCCCTTTCTCTAATGATGTGAACAGATGCTCACCGTAAATGTTTCTTGCTCTTTTGCTGGGGGCTTTTTTTGTGATGCTTAAGTCAAGAAAGCTACTGCAACACTTAAACCTCTTTCTTCTTGTAAAGCTCCTTTTTCCTTAGGAGTGAAGTTTACTTTTTTTTTTAGTTTCACCATGTTCACAAAGCTTTCTGTTGTTATAATTTGACTTTATTGTTTATTCTTCTTTGATTCTCAGATCACTAAAGCATTCCTAGTATAGCTGCAATATTTGCTGGTTTTCTTCTGCTCTGGGATTATTTGCATTATATTGCTTAATTACTGTAGCACCTGCTGGATGAAGTTCCTCAGACATTCTCCTTACCTTCGTCTCCTGGTCTTAAGTAGGTGCCTGTCATGATGAAGTCCTTGGTTTTCCTCTTCTTTCCTTCCCACCACAAATATTTAGCATTGCTGCTAAAATTTCCCTCTTGCCTCCTTCCAGACCACAAAACAAGGACATTCTTACAACAGGTGAACAGCGTTGTTCACATCCCTCCCCACAGCAGACTGATGTCCTCTGGTTTTGTCTAACCTTGCCTTTTCTCATATCTGGCAGATGAAGAGTTGGTAACAGTAATCACTTCCTGTTTACAATGGATCCAGTATTCTTGCCTGCCTATTATTCATCCCTGTGGATGTAATACATCCCTCTTTTCTTTTTCAGGTACCTCTTTTGCCCCTTCTTCCTGTTGTGAGTATTTTTGTGAATGTTTACCTCATGATGCAGCTAGACCTTGGCACATGGATCCGGTTTGCAGTTTGGATGCTCATAGGTGAGTTAGAGAAAAAACTCTGTGTTCAACATTACTAGATTTTGTTAATCATAAATTCCTTGTAGCATTCTAGGGAGGGATTCTCCACTCTCACCATCCTTGGGCAAACTTGATGACTCAACTGAAGGCATTTAGGCAGCGTGCCTCAAGCTTGTTTTAAATTCAAGTGTCTTGAAGCCTTTGTGAGGATAAAAGGACAACCCGTGAACCATCTTATGGGTCTTACTGCCAACAAGAAACCACAGAGCGTTTATTGTTGGCTGGCCTTGAACTGCAGTCCAGGTGGTGGGCTTTGTGCTTCTGGAGCTGAAGGAGCTGAGCTGCATCCCAGGATGCTCCCAGTAGACATGTGGAGAAGGCCTGAAACACCCAGGGTATTTACTATGATGGAAAAATCAATGCTGATGGGATGGATGCTGTAGGTACATAAATGGAGAAAGAAAGCTCTGGGCAGAATGGACTCACTGGAAAGCATAAGAGATTTTTCTAATTGGGCCCCCTTTTGGAGCTGGGATAGATGGTCTTTTAAAGACTGGTGCCTGTGTTAATGGCTTTTTCCCAAAGGGAGATAGTGGCTGTCCACTAGAAGCCAGTCATGAGGTTGACTGAAGTTGCCCCTGGTGCAGCCTGTATTGTAGTGAGTGTGGTTCTGTTACCTTGCAGAGCTAACGGTGCCCTCTCCCCTTGGCTTCCACAGGTTTTATCATCTACTTTACTTACGGAATATGGCACAGTGTGGAAGCCACCTATGCTGCCTCAGCAGATGCGGAGAGAAACACGGATGCTGGCTCAGAGAGCTGTAAATGACTGCATGTTTGGCTATGGGCAACTGGGGAATGGCTGCAGTGAAGGAAGCTTTGCAAGTGGGGGTCCTGAACCAGGTTATGTCTGGTTAATCAGTGATGCAGGAATAAGGAAGCATAATGCGGGACTCCCCAGCCCTGTTGCTGCAGCTTGCGCAGTCTGCTTAGTAGCCCAGTTAAAAGGGATCACAAGATAAAAAGCCACACCTCTGGCATACTCCTGGGAGCACTCTCAGCTAATCTGGGGCTATGCGCTTCCCTTCCTCCTTCTTCTGCGTTTTATTTTTTTCCCAGTGTGTAGAAAGAAAACTGCTTCTGTGTGCCACTTAACCTTAAATGCTGCTATGAAACCAGGCCTCACCAAGGTCTTTCTTTCAGTAGCCCCAGGAATTACCTCCCCACAGATACTCTACCTGATTTTGCAGTGCTACTGTCAGGTTTAGAGCAGATCTGTCCTTCACCTGATGTGAGCTGTACCCCACGTGTACGCACAAGAAAAGGTTCTCTCCAAACACTGGCTTTCACCTGATTAAGAAAGCACCTGCAGGACTTGCATTCTTCAGAGTATCAGATCTCATAGTTTTTGTGTATTTAACTTTTTCTTAACTGCATACTCGTATGCTTTAAGGCACATTGCTGCTGTGAATTGCTGGGCTACAAGTTGCTGCTTGTTGGGTGAATGGTCACTTGTCAGCATGCAGGGAGTGCCAACAGATGTTTCTGCTTATATGCTCAGCAGAGGGATTGCCAGCTTGCCTTATAAAACTATGTAGTGCAAGAACTTGAATGGCTTGAAAAGAGCGGGTGTCTCCAAAGAGCTCTCTTACTTCTTCGCCTCGGAAATCACCAGCGCTGTGGCTGCAGTGGTGGGGTGGCTAGTAGAAGGGAGCCCAGCTCTGGTAACAAGCACGACCCTGTTTTCCTCTCCTTGCAGCAGTTTTATGTGCTGGCCAGGTGGCATTAGCAAAGGATTTGACTGTGAGACTTTGATTTGGCATTGGCAGGTGGAGCATGTTTTACTCCTGAGAAGGGGAAGCATGGGAGGATCCTCGGTGGCTTGAACTTCTTCCATGAGCAATGCCTGGTGTCTGCCCCCTGCCCAGGGGAGGGCTGTGAGGGTGTGCAGGGGCTCCTTGGTCCTGGTAGAGTATGCAGCCTAGAAAACACTGCTAAGCTCTAGGGTACAACTTGCTGAGAAGAGCTTTCCCTTTGTGGCTGGAGATCATCTCCAGAGCTGGGCTGTTGGGAAAGGTGGGAAATGAGAGTTCAGACCAGGGTCTGTGTTTGGTTGACAATGCCTTGGTTTTGCTGTAAGATGAAACATTTCCTTAATTTTCTGCATCATGGCTTTCCCAAGCCAGATTCAGTACCCAAAAAAAAAGTTTTGTTAAAGCATAAGTAAGATGGGCATTGCCCCTTGTTGTATCACTGATTTAAATTCAAACGAACAGGGGAGGGAGATTAAGGTTGGATATAAGGAAGAAATTCTTTACTGTGAGAGTGATGAGGCACTGGAATAGGCTGCTCAAGAAAGTTGTGGCTGCCCCATCCCTGGCATTGTTCAAAGCCAGGCTGGACAGGGTGTCCCTGCCCGTGGCAGGGGGTTGGAACTAGATGATCTTACAGACCTTTCTAGTCCAAACCAGTCTGTGACTCTCAATTCACACTTCAGCTTGTATTGAAAAACAAATCGTAGAATGGTTTAGGTTGGAAGGGACCTCTGAAGACTGTCTGTTCCAGCTTCCCTTCTATGGCCAGGAACATTTTGACTAGATCAGGTGGCTCAAAGCCCCATCCAACGTAACTTCAAACACTTTCAGTGATACATCATCCCAAATCACCTCTCCTAACCTGACTGGATGCTTTCCTAGGTGTCTGTCCTCCACACTGCTGTCTCTGAACACTGGACAGTCTTTAAATCTGTTTGTCAGCATGGCTGTTGCTGACAAAAGGCCAGGCTCTTGTCCCTGTTGTTCAGTTGGAGAACTGAAGAACAGATCCCTGCATGACTTAACCTTGTGCAGCAGAAAGGGGAAACAGACCATCTCCTGGGTTACACGGCTGGACTGTGGTCTCTCACAGGTCTCCAAGAGACACTTGATACCCTGTCTACACTAAGGAGTTTTAATTTTAGGTTCCTTCTAGTACACTGGGGACCTCTTATTGCCAGGGTTGGAACTGGGGTGGGTGAAGGCATTGTGTTCACTGCCTTCCAGGATGCGTTTTGAGTGCAGTTCCCTCTACAAGATGAAGTCAGGGCCAGCTTCAGTCCCTGGGTCTTGACCATCTGCCAAGCCTTTGCTCCTCCAGCAAGTACAAAGTCTTACTCAAGCAGGGAGAGAATAATACAGAAATGAAAAGCCACTTGGTTGAGGTCTGTTTTATTTAAATACAGGCAAGGTCAATACAGTCCATAGCCTTCCAAAAAGCACTGAAGATGTGGTGGGAGGGAAAGAAGATGAAAACTCGGATGGGAGCAAAGTTTCCTGTTTTACCAAAAATGCAAGGATATTTTTCCCTACCTTGGGTACAAACTTCTGAGCAATTAAGACATTCAGAAGTGACCATATGGGGGTGAATTCTGACTGGAAGTGTTGTCTCCAAAGAAAATGATTTAAGAATATGCAGATTTCTTGCTGTATGTAAACTTTTTCTTAATATTAATATTTTGTTATTAATATTAACTTATTTTTGTTACCTGCCTAGGGGTCTGGTTTCGTATTTATATTCCATAACTTAATTTCAGCTTTTGTGGCATATAATAGTATGTAGAAGGGAAAGACCTGATGGGGTCATTTTTCATCAGTTGCCTTTTCTCTGAGAAATTTAAAGACTTCTGTGTCAGCAGATACAGTATTTAAATGTGCTATTACCTGTATCAGACCCAAAGCTAATGGAGGTGAGGAGCCTTAGTCCCATCTCCCACTGTTCCATCTTGGTGTGTTCAACCCATCAGTTCCCTTGTGGTTGGTGCTGCCGTCTCTCTGGCTCTTTGTTGCTACTCACCAGATACAAGCACATAGAGGTAGCCTGCAGCCCTGCAGAGTGACGGGGAAGCGTAGGTGTCTCCCTGGCTCTCTTGTCTACCTGCTTCCCCTGTGTCCAGCTGTACCTGGGAATATCCTGGCCTCCTCTTCACATGACTTGACGTGGGAGGTGGACCAGTGAGGAAGCGGAGAATTAGATCTGCATACCCCTGCCCCATCCCCTCCTGGCTGCATCCATCCCTTGCTTGTATGTTTCATAAGCTGAAAGGCAAATTTGACTGCCTCCTTCTAGGACAACATCAAGGACTTTGCTGAATGGATGTGGTTTTATTATTGTATTTTTTTTTACCTCTCTGCTGATGTCTGTATGTAACATAGATCAAGCCAGGTGTCTCTTGAAGACACACAACTGCTGCTATAACCTTGCTGTTGTGGACAATATGCTTTCATTCATTTGAGATTTTCTTTGTAAATAATGCAGTTATTTTTTTATAGGAATGTTTTGTGCAGATGCGGAGCATTTTGCTGTATGAAGGGGTGGGAATAGAGAAGCAATACGTTTGCTTGCCATGAGAATAGATCTGGTTTTGCCAAAGCTGAGAGACATAGTAAAAATGGCCTGCCTGATCTTTTGGAGGAGGCTCTGGCCTGAAGGACTGACCTTGTTTCAGCTTATTTAGTTGCTCCCAGTCTGCTCGGTAGAGAGGAGCCCTCCAGGTGAGCTGTTGGAAGGTCCTGCTGATGGCCAGCTCACAATGGATTGAGGCAGGCAGCACCTAGGCTGCAGCTTCCAGTCAAACAGCAAATCTTGGTGTGTAGACAGCCAGCCTTTCTCCGTGAAAACTGCTGCCAAAACAGCTTTTCCCCCATCCCTCCCAAATGAATTGTTTGTGAAAAAATTGCTAGCTTTTGCTTATTTGCTTACTGCTTTCTTTGGTCACTAAAAATCATTACTGTCTGGGTTTCAGCTTCAGTTTGCCCTTTTGCCATCCATCAGGGTGGAGTTTGCTCCTGGTCTGTGCTGCGAGTGCCTGTGCTGGTTGTCAGTCAGATATCTGTCAGCAGGAGGGGGTACAGGGCTGACCCCTGCCCACCAACCCCATCTGAGCATGGCAGGGACCAGGGTGTGCTGCAGGCAAACTGCTGCAGTTTGGAGCCATTCGTGCTTGGTTGCAGTAGGGTAAGGGGGCTGCAGGGGACCATGCTGGTGAAAGCACTGCCACGTGTTGCTGTTTATTGCCAGGTTTTAGAAGCGTAAAGTTTTAACTGGCAGTGCTTACTGTGAACACTCACCCTTCGTCTATCCCAAATGAAAACAAACTCCTATTCATAGTGTACAGAGGGTGCCTGTCACTGCATGCTGCCCCCATTCCTACTAAGTCAGAGACCAGAAAGCAATATGATAGGATATTATGTTTATATTTGTAAAATATGCTGCTTTGGTGATTGCATTTTATATACTAATGAATTCCAGTAGGATTTCTTAAATTCTGTCTCTCCCCACCCCCAAAAGCCATGTACACTGAACATTGCTGTCATCTGCCCAAATGAATAAACGATGATGTGCAGGTCTGGCAGGCTTGAGGGGCTTGCTTTGGAGAGGAGGAGCAGGAGTGGTGCCAATTTTCATTTAGCAGGCTCCCCTGCAGTCTCTCCCCTGCATGCAGCTCAACGTCCTCCCCTTCCAAAGGAAGCCTCTTGCCTCTGGGAGAAAAGCATCTCTCTTTTTAAACCCTTGAACAACCTTATGACATCCACTGGGCCCAACTTTACAGGCAGGTTCTGTTTCTTCCTCATTAAAAAGTTGCACTTCTTTAAGGCTAGGTATCTGTGTACACAGTGCATCATGAGTTACTCCTCATAGCCACCTCGCCTTTCCGCAGGTCCATCAGCCTGATTCGGGATGCCAGCATTCCAGCATCCCAGAATTGAGCTGAAAGCAAAGCTGCCTTGTCTGTGCTGCCGGTTGCTCTGCCTGCTGCTGCTCAGCTTGTGGTGTGTCACCCATTTCCCACTCCAGCAGCAAAGCCTCCCCCATAGACTCCCCAGACTGCCTTACGCTGTGTTACAGTTGCAGTGGGGTCCTATGGGGTGTCTGACACCCAGCTGGAAAACAGATGATCCTGGAACGTCTCTGCCAGCAAGAGCCAGACCTCGGTTTCTCTCAGGGTTTTTCTCCTGGCTTGCGCTCCAAGACGTGAGGTTCCTCTGAGGCCAGTGAGAGACACCTCTTCCTCTCTATGCCATGTGGGGCTTTGGCTTCAGCAGAGTGACTCGTGGGCTTGAGACAGCAGTGGGAAGCAAAGGGTTGGTTCCCTTGCAGCACAGTTGTGCCTTCGAGCAGTGCTGGGCACAGGGAGCAGGAGGAGCTGCTGTCAGCCCCGAGGTAGTGTGCTGGCAAACCTAGTGTGAGTTTGGGGCACATATGTCAGCAAAGGGGTTGTTACTGACTGAAGCCATGGAAGAGTCTGTATATATTTATTTTTTAATTATTAAGCAAAATGTAAATACCTTTCTGTTGTCTGATGGTCTATTTTCCTAATGATTTCTCAGAATTTCTTATGGGCATAATAAATAGTTTTAATGCTTGTTCTGCAAACAGGTCTGTTTTTTATTTTTTTTTAATCTTTGTTTGGGTTGGAGTTTTTGGGTTTGTTTTGGTTTTACCACGTTCATGTAGCGATTAAGGCCTTAAGTTTTACAGTGTGAACCTTGCACAGCACGGGTGTGCGGCTACTTTTTATCCTGGCAACACTGTAAATAACTTCTCCCCTGAATGATGCTTTTGGAATTCGGAAGTTCACTTGTAATTCTGTGGTACAGCATTAAAACATATTTCTCAGTATCCAGATAAGTGATGTCTATTGTTTGCCCTCCTTTGTAAGCCTGCCTGTTTTGCAGCTAGTTCCAACTTCTTGCTGGCTGTCCCAGTCTCTGCAGGAGGGCACTTGCTCTGGAAGCTGCTCGTGTTAACTCTGCCCTGACTCAGATTTGCTGAGGCAGGTGGGACAATACATGGTGTGGGGGACTTGCTGCAGGCTGGGGTGGATGCTCAGAGCTGAGCAGCTTGTTGCTGCTGACACCGAGGCGAGTCTCTTCTGTCTTCTGGTACCAATTCAGGTATTAGGTGGGACTTCCCAAACCTGCAGAGTTAGCCTAAAATTTACCCAGGTGGTGTGAACTTCGTTGGCATTGCAAAGGTCAGTTGTCTCGGGAACTTGGGGCTGTGTAATGAAGAGTTCTGCTCTTTTCTATGGGGTTTTCCAGGATAGGATCTGCAGGACAACACTGACAACCAGGAAGAAGTCTTGTCTGCTCCCTGCCACCACCTCATCCTTCGTTTGCATCCTGCTTGTGTGTCCTGCTGTAAATTAGTTGGTGGCTCCAGGAGCCCTGCTTTCCTTCTGCCCTCACTCTTTGTCCTTCCTATAGCTTCCTCTGTGCCAATTGAGCCAGGGGCCTGGTGAAAGACTTTCCAGGAGGATGTTACCAGGCACATTCCCGAGGTGGGGTGTGCCCTGACTCTTTAATCCTTGTGGCAAAGCCTGAGGAACTCTGTGCTCTCAGCGGAAGGGCAGGGCAAGGGGAGGGTGTGTTGCAACAGCAGCAGACCAGCACATTATGAGAGTACGTGTTTGCTGCCGTGTCTGAGCCATGGGCAGAAATGTTCTCCTTACTACATGCTGAAGCATGACACCTTAATAAAAACACTGCAGGCAACAACCCCTGGTCACCCAGGAGCCCCAGCTGCACAGGAAGCACCCTTAGAAAAGGAATTAATGGGATTTTTGATCTAATTTATAGCCTGTTATCCATAGTTGGGTAACTCAACCAAGCCCCCCTGCTGTCAGGAGGCTTATGTGGTTTTCTAGCTTCAATCTTTACTGTACTGGGGTAACCTTCGATGGGGTTTCACTTCTAATCCAGTTTCTGTGTGCACAGACATACAGGAAATGCTACAGGACATGCTGGTTCATATGCGTCAGCCCATATGTGTGCTGGCGCATGTATTTATTATCAGGA